TAGCTTTTGTACAATATATATTTTTGTATAATTGACAACTAAAGAGACATTATTAAATATGGTATAGATACTAATTAATTGCAAGTTAACTTTATCTTAATTTATTAACCTATATCCATAGTATGCTAAAAATAAGAATATATATTTTAGTTATTATAAACAGAATATTAGTTGATAAGTTAATGTTAAAAAATATTCTACAAAAGCTATTGTCTCTAAAAATGCTCCCAACAGGGATCGAACCTGTGACCTTGGCGTTATTAGCACCACGCTCTAACCAACTGAGCTATGGGAGCTCAATAGCAATAATTTTAATCTAGTCATTAATATTAATTATATCTATATATGAAAGGTTCTAGTTAAGACGAGGACAAATTTGACCAAAATTTTTTATATGGAAAATTTGCAATATTTTTGATTTTTAGTTGCTTAAAGCTTATTAAAGAGTATCTTTTATTATTCAAAGTTAATAATATAGTATGCTAATACTATATTATCATCAATCCTCTATTAAGTAAGGACTATACATAATGAAAACTTGGTTACAAAATATTAAAATTTTGGCAGAGCTCTTACGAAATTTGAATCAAATTAACCAGAATTACTCATATTTTAATTAGTATAATCTATCTAAATCAGTATAAATACGCTATATAAATAATTAACTAAGTTAACTCTTACTTTATTATATTTTTTCAATTTTTAAAATAAAATTTAAACCTATAAATATTCTATTTAAATTATAATAATGATTTTTACTCAACTACAGTTAATTATTTTGTTTTATATTTATTACAAATATTAGTGATAACTCTAATTTAATTAAATTATTATATTAATTTACTAATTAATTACTTAATATATTATTATAACTATTAAAATATTAAAATTTAAATTCTAAATTAAGATCTAATCTTTATTTAATATACACATTACATAATTATTATATAAAATTTTTAATTTTTGTCTCTAATTAATTTATATTTATATTTAATCTGAATTGTATCGATAATATGCATTAGGTAGATAAAGTTTTATGTTTAAATATATACATATATCGTAGTTACAATCTACGATAAAAGGTAATATTTACAATATGTAATGCGGTATATCAACAAACAACGCAGACTAAATAAAAGTCTATACTTATTATTACAACTATAATTAAATAAAAAAAACTATTTTTAGTTAATTATTTACTTACACCTTTATATTTATTTGTTTCAAAACCGTTTTATTTGTTGAAGTGCAAGTAATAACTTGCAGCTCATTTAACTTTTATATCGTAAAAAAATTTAGATTAAAAATTAATTTGAAATTTAAGCAATGTGCAACATTTTAAATTAAATATTTAAAGTTATAATATAGTTTATTATATATAACTGATTATAGTTTGTTTTTATTAGTTATATCGATTAAAAAATAGTTTTAAAGGGAAAAACAGGTATAAAAAGGGGAGGATGCCCAATCTCTCTTAGAATTTTTCATAAAAAAGTTTAAAAATTATGAAACGGGATTTAGTTTATAACAATAGAGTTTTAATAAAAATAATATAAAAATATACTATTAACTTAATTTTGTTTTTTATTTTTTTAATAAAATAACCTATATTTACAGTCTAATATAATACTAAATATTAATAATCTTTATTTAATTTATTATAATAAACTACTTAAAAAGTTTTCTATATTAGATAAAGCATATGAAAGATTCTGGTTAAGGCGAGGAAAATTTGTCCAAAATCTTTTATAGGGCAAGTTTAAAATTTTTTCTAATTTTTATAATTTATAGCGTATTAAGGAATCTCTTTTTTTAGATATTGTCAATAATATAGTATTTTAGTGTATTATTATCAAGTTTTCTCTTTTAAATAATGATATATAAGATAATAACTAGCTTATTTTAATATTAAAATTTTGAAATGAGCTCACGCAAATTTAAGTCAAATTAACCAGAACCTCTCATATAGAGTAAATTTAAGTAAATAAAGAATAAAAAACTAAAGCAGTTATTTAAATCCTCTTTCCATAGCTAGTTCAAAAAGGTATACGTTTTAGTACATATTTTAAGATAATACTATGAAAACTCTCTACTTTTATATTTATATTTATAGTTTTATATAATATTTAAAATCTTTTTCAAATTCTAGTATAGCATAATATAGTATATAAATTAAACAAGTATTGCTATTAAATAACTTAGAATAGGAAGAGTAATAGTTCTTATACTTATAGTTTTCATATAGATTATACTTATGGTTATAAAACATCTTAATAAAGCATGGCTAGTAATAATATCGCCCTTACTAGCTTTCAAACTTTTATACATATAACACTGCATGTAATATTTAGATTTTTTATTAGTAGTAGCAGCTTGCTTTAAGACATACTTTCGTTTAGAGTTTCTTTTATTAATCCTTTTTTGCTCTTCAGTTAGGTTAGTTTTAGGCATTTTAATTAATAGAAAAAAATTTAAAAAATCCTTAAATTTTTAATGACAGAGGGGAATAGATTCAAGAAGTAGATTTTTTAATTTTAGCTGTGATTTGGGCGTTCTCCCTTATTTATACCTGTTTTTCCCTTTAAATTAAATTGACATTCAAATGACATAATCTAACTATTAATTCTTTACTTTTAACTTACACCATCACAATATTAATGTTCAATTTTTAATGCCATTAAATTTAAATTTTTAAATAAACAAAATCTTACATATTTATCTGTTAAATAAAACTAATGAAGCTAATAACCAATAAATTTTTGTTAAATTTATGCAATTTAGCCTATCTTTTAATATTTGGATTGTAATAGATGTGTACATTGAGTTATCTTTTAATGCTAAGGGTTAAAGTGGTGTATTTTAATAATCAGTTGAATAGTTTCTTGACTATCAATATCATGTACGTATCTGTTAATCCTGTTAACTGGTATTATAAATACTTTAATCGTCTTTATTGTTTGAAATAACTTTTGTCATTTTTTGAATAGTTTTAATAGCACTTTAATCAAATCATGATTTTAGCTAATAACAGGTTTTTAATACCCTTGTTTTCTTTATTGATTCCTTCTATTTTAACTGAAACAACTACTGCTAATGATATTACATCGAGCGAGAACACTAATAGTGGGTTAATATGCAAGTTTAATAGCTTGCCTCCTAGAGAATTAATTCACTCTTTAAACCTTGCCGATATTGAACCCCACACTAATACTTTTACATTTAACAGCTTAACTGACGAAGAGGTCAGTAAATTATCCGAATTGGATGGAAGTTGTGAAAGAACAGAGGGTAAAGTTGTTTTAAGAAAGCGTCAGCAATACAATGATCAAAAAGGTGGTATTTATGATCCTTTTTTCAAAAACTTCACTACTTATGACAACTTAAAGACTACATTACAATTTTGGTGTAAAAACAGTCAAGGGTGGTGTAATTTCATCCCCGTTTACGGTCGTAGTTACGAAGGTAGGGACTTATTTGGTGCTATTGTTACTAACCCAGCAGTAAATCAAAATAAAACCTATGTTTGGATAAATGCTGGATTGGACGGTAGTAGTACTTTGGCACCTACTACTGCTGCTTATATGGTTAGAGCCCTAATTTATGACTCTTACTATCCTGATATTGCGGATTTATTACAGAAATATTCTTTTGTTTTTACTCCAATGGCGAATCCTGATGGGTTTGAGTATAGTAGAAAGAATAAGGTAGCTTGGAAGAAGAATCGTAGCATTCAAAAAGCCGGAAATTTTGGCGTTGATTTAACAAGGAACTTTGATGATCATTTCTGTCAATTTGGTGGCTCTACAAACCCGAAAGATACTAATTACTGTGGCCCCAAAGCCTTCTCCGAGCCCGAGACCTACTACTTATTACAATTTGCGCGTAAGCTCCAACGAGGATTGTGGTCAGTATTAGATATGTACGATGGTGGTCAAATGTTAGCAAGGGCTCCTGCTTGGTCATATACGTATACAATGAATAATGCTATAGAGAAAGGTATTACCGATGGGATGGGTATAGCGTTACAGCAAGCTGGCTACAGTTATAGTTCCGTCGTAGCTTCCGAAAAATTCGGTTTAAATAGCGGCAGCTTGCTGGATTTTGTAGAATTGCAATTACATGCCCCTTCCTTTAGACTCTACTTACCATCATCTAGACAAGGACACGTATCAGAAGGCGAGATCTTAAAAGCTTCAGACGCTGCGTACAGTAGCTTACTTCAAATGTGTAGATATATGTTCCAATTACCAATGTATAGTAATACCATGAAACCTCAGGGAGCTATTAATTTGAACCCTGGACAAATTTTAGGTCTTTTAGGCCAAGGTGTGGGCGGTCTACTTGGTGGGAGTGGGGGTAGACGCTAATAATATTTATATAATAAATTCCAATCTTAATAAACATTTTTAATATCACTATTAATATAATATTATCATGGTTTTGTTGCACTATTTTTAACTGATGATGATCATTATTTAGAATTATGGATCTTTTTAATATGAGTAATTCTAGTTAATTTGATTCAAATTTTGTAAGAGCCCATTCCAAAATTTTAATTTTTTATAACCGAGTTTTCATCGCATATAGCAATTATTTAATAGGGAATTGATTATAATATCATATTAAAATACTATATCGCCAACTTTGACTAATAAAAGATACTCTTCAATAAGCTTTAAGTAATTAAAAATCAAAAATATTGCGAATAATCCATATAAAAAATTTTGGTCAAATTTGTCCTCGTTTT